CCCAGTGGCTGCATCGTCCACCACTCTCTATCACAACACTGGCTGCTGCAGCCTGCAGCTCTTGGCAGCTGCTGGCACCCCGCCCAAGGGAACCCAGAAGGTGAGCCGCAAACGCTGGCTCACAGGGTGTCTGACCTGCGAGGGGGAGCAAACTGGCAGGAAAGCGAAGAACCATTTGCCTTGGCAATATTTTTTGGAATGGTAAATCACCCGTATCACTTGCCAACATTCTTGGGATATATGTGGTATGAAAACGAACTGATCATAAAGGAACTTTTGTTGAGCAATCAACAACAAGAATTTGTGTACCCATCTAAAGCGGTGCATAGAGACAAATAGCTTCGGAACCTTGCACAGCATACTGCAATTTGGTGGGGGGACCCAGTAGTACTGTGAATTGCATTTGTAGCTCCTGTTGTCTCACTGGGACGCAAAAAAATCAGCTGATGCAGTTTCCAGCATTTTCAAGCGCTCCACTTTCTTCTTTGCAATGATCAACACTGCAAACCCCTGGGACGTTTCAGGATTGCACGGCGAATGAAAGCCCCACATCATGGAGGTGTAGGTTCAACATTAATGACACACCAGCACGCACAGCTTACCAACACAGAGATAGGCATTATAGGTTTGAAACCCACAGGGCCCCCAAGAAACCTAAGGGGCTATCCGGCCATGGTCAAAATGCCGCATGCAGCAATCTACGACAGCGCCGCGGACTTAGGGGAAGCCTTCGGCTTCGGCTTGTGGGCATGTTTCTTGCAATGCCCAGCCGCCTTTTTGTAATCAGCAATCTTCTCCGCCAAAACTTGGTTGACCTGCAGAAGGGACTCACCATCACGGCCAGCAGCAATCGCGGCCTCCGGGTTGATAGATTTTCTATTTGGGGGAAGACAACTAACTGACTACTTTTCTAGACAATTACGAATGCTTTTGGCTCTATATAATATATAGGTAATGGATGTTCTGTACATGGTGCATTGGGGTTATATATATATATATATCTCTCTCTCTCTCTCTGTCTCTCTCTCTCTCCCTCTCTCTCTCTCTGTACTGGGATGATGGGCCCCAAACCTCGACACTTCCACGGGCATCTTCTAAGCACTGCAAATGCGTTTTCATGTCACGGACCAGGGCCAAAATCAGATCCTTTGGCCTCGGCGTTTGGAAAACCCATGTTGGTACATCTTGGTGATAGAAGCCACTACTTGTCTTGCTGATACTGATAATAAGGTTCCGGCGTTTCACTGGACTGAAGCTTTGTATCCCATGACTTGCATTCGAGGATAAGATCAGCTGCCGTTTTCATTGCCTTAGATTACCCATTGTCCCATGTTAGCAATAGCGGAAACTATATATGTATGAACATGAAACATGGATCAACTTTGGTATTTACCAGTTGTTTCCGGCGCAAATCTGTTTGAAACTATATCAATGGAAGAAAACAGAGATCCCAAAAATCAATTTGGAAGCTAATTTGTAACTAAATCAATATTTCTGGCATGATACCGCTCGAGACTCCTGCTCTGGCGTTTTGGTTTTTGGCTTTCTGGACCCATCACCCTTGCCACCCTTACCACCCTTGTTGCCTTTGGCACCTTTGCCAGCAGCTTTGCCATTTCCCTTTCCCGTAGCCTCATCAGCCGGAGATCCCTTTCCAGCCCCTTTAGGGCAGCCTGGGTCTGCAACCCCTGGCATGTTCGCCCCCCTGAAGCTGGCAACATCGGCGTTGCGAATGGCACCAGAAGAGGAG